TTTGTATTTCTGATATCCTGATCTCGGCTAGTTTTATTGTATTTTTGTATTTCTGCTATTCTGATCTTGGCTAGTGTTACGTTTATGCTTTTTCTCTTTTTTTTATTAAACCCAGCAATTCTGAGGTCCAGTAATACATCCTTTCTATCTATCTATCTTCCACATTTTTTGAGGATATACTTACAACCATCAAGAGACATCAAGTGTATGTATATATAATTTATGTAAGGCGCGGTTTCCTCCCTTCTTCTTTCTATACTGTATTTTTGACAAGGCTGGGAATCCTTGTATTGTTTACTGCTGCCTATTTAATTGTCTGTTTTGGAGTGAGCACCCGACACACCTTTCCTTTTTCTATTGCTATATCACTTCCTAGCCGAGGTGCTCCACAAAATTCAATAATCCAACATGACTTTATTTGAATATCGAGATAATTACAACATCGACTTAAATGACATCTTTAATGACATCGATGACTTAGATATATTGGATAACAACGAACCATTGATTACATTCGATGACCCAAAAGAATTACTAAAAGAACTAGAATTTTCTTTAATTAAAGAAATGAAGCTAAGATGGGGAAATTGCGACTCTTAGCAAATATGTTGAAGAGAAAATCACCCCAAGAGGTCTCAGACTTTTCAAAATGCCGACATCAGATACAGACAACAGATGTTTCATGGAAGAGTGGTATAACCACTTAGAGTTCTGTACGTTCGGCCTTATGGGGAGCCTGATTAAGGTTAAGAGTGAAAGACTTCTTAATTTAGACAAAAAGATCAACGGTATAAGAGACCAATTAATCCCGTTTGCTGACACAGAAGAATACTTTAACCAAACACAAAATATCAAAAAAACAGTAGAAAAAACAGAAACAGATATTAAAAGAATTGAAAAAAATAAATACAATAGAGACAAGCATGATTATGCTAATAACCAAATACGTACTTATAACACGAAAAAAGCACCACGACAGCAAAGATGGAAAAACACTAATCACTTACACAACTTTCACACAGAAAATAATATTTTTAGACCTAAACGCTTACAAAGCAGAGATGATAATGAAAGATCTGAACACACATATAGAAGAAATTATTGGAATAGATCACCACGTAAATTCACTGACAGATTCACTACCACTAATAGACCAAAATCCTACAGTAACACTAATGAAGAGTTCCAAGACAAATCAAAACAGTCTTATCACAGACCTTCAGGATTTAATACTAAAGAACCTAGCCACAGAATGCAAAATATGAGAAATCAAAGAAAAGAAAGACACCCAAATGAATCACCAATGATAGTAAGACCCAAAACCCACAAACACACATATATTCCCAGTTCCCCAACACAGAAACTCAAAGATAGAGAATATCCTTGGGAAAAGGTAAATCACAATAGACACAGCAAATATGATATTCACAAACCTAATTCACCGAATGAAATTATCACCAAAAATAAATATCATGCTTTGTCTTTCTGTGACCAATTGGACGAGACCTCTTTTTTAGAGATCCCGTCCAATTGGGAAAGGAATACCAACTGCCTAAACATAACACCTATAAAGAGTCGAAAAAGAATTCTAGAGGTAGAAGGGCAGGGAGAAGAGAGCAAAAAAGGAAGATTTTAAAAACAAACAATACTTCCCCTACGGGCATATTCAATCTTTCTAATAAATATCTAAATGAATCTCAAACGAATATCCTTAAAAAAGGCTTAAAATTTGCCCCCACTAGAACATACAATTCCTTTTTAACTTACATTGATGTTAATAAATTCGTCAGAAATGCCACCTTAAAAAGATTCTTCATCTCTAAAATGCC